TGCAAAAGACGTCGATCGATTTTACGACGGTTTGAAAACCAAATTCACGACGGTGAATTCCCGTCGTCTTTTGCCTTTTTTTGTAGTAGTGAATATATATGTGCTTGGCAAATGGCTTCTTTATGTGCAGAGATAATATTGTCTAAGTTCAAAGTCTCAAATTCATATAGAGGCCTTTGAGCGGGGACGGAGATGGTATTGTCATACCCACTCCCTACCCAACCTGTTGCATCCCTAGTGTCGTTGCATAATCCATCAAAGACAAGGACTTCGGGCATTTTCGCACAACATGCTTGTTTGTACCATATCTGATTGGCCTCTCATGCTATGACACGTGGAACAGGCTTGACACTAAGTAAGCCCCCATAGCCCACGCTGGCAAGCCTATGCTAAAATATGAATACGGGTTTGAATATGTTCAGATGATTTATTCTTCTCCATAAGGAGGTATAAATATGAGTTTACAGAGTGCTTTACAAGGAATGAGAAACAATAAGGGAATAGGAAAGTATCTCCTAATTATTCACAGATTTGTCAACTAAATGGAATGGGAAAGTAAATCCCTTAATTAATCAAGGAAATAAATCTCCTTGATTAATTAGGAGACTCACGTCAACACTCCTCCTCAAGTTGGTGCATATACGTCCCCAATGCCCAACTTGGTAAGTGAGTCATAAAACACTCTGCTACAAACAGCTTTGGTTAAGATGTCAGCTAGTTGATATTCTGATTTTACGAATGGTAGGCGGATGATCTTCTTCTCAATTTTTTCTTTAATAAAATGTCTATCCACCTCAACATGTTTGGTTCGATCATGTTGAACTGGATTATGGGCAATATCAATAGCTGACTTGTTGTCACAATGCAACTCCATTGGCTTTTCTGGCTTGAAACCCAATTATGTCAAGAGTCTTCTGATCCATAGCAATTCACAAACTCCATGAGCCATTCCTCGATACTCTGCTTCTGCACTAGACCGAGAAACCACATTTTGTTTTTACTCCGCCAAGTGACTAGATTACCTCCCACGAAGGTAAAGTAACCTGAAGTAGAGCATCTGTCAGTAATGGATCCAGCCCAATCAGCATCTGTATATCCCACAACTTCAAGATCTCTATTTTTTGAGAACATTAATCCTTTTCCAGGGGCTAATTTTAAGTACCTTAAGATTCGATCAACTGAATTCCTATGAGACACACAAGGTGAATGCATAAACTGACTAACCACACTCACAGCATATGCAATATCTGGTCTTGTGTGGCCTAAATATATTAACCTTCCAACAAGGCGTTGGTACTGTTCCTTATTGGTTGGTTCTTGGTCCATACCTTCACACACACTTGTGATTCATCTCGATTGGTGTGTCAGCAGGCTTACATCTAAGCAATCCTGTTTCAGCGAGTAGATCCACTACATACTTTCTCTGTGATAGAAATATACCATTTGCGGACCTTGCTACTTCAATTCCAAGAAAGTACTTCAGATCACCTAAATCCTTTATCTCAAATTCCTGAGACAAATACTTCTGCAGTTTCAACTGCTCTCCTGTGTCGTTTCCAGTCACAACTATGTCATCAACATAAACAATCAGTGCGGTAAGCTTCTTTCCATCACGCTTCAAGAACAAAGTGTGATTCGAATTACTCTGTGTATATCCAAAATTCTTCATGGATTTAGTGAATCTACCAAACCATGCCCTGGGAGACTACTTTAACCCATATAATGACTTTTTGAGCTTGCAAAGTTGATTCTCCTTGTCACGAGTGAAGTTACATCCTGGTGGTAAGTCCATATATACTTCTTCTTCCAGGTCTCCATGTAAGAATGCATTATTTACATCAAACTGATGTAATGGCCAATCGAGATTTGCTGCTAGAGACAGGAGGATTCTGATAGTTTTGATCTTGGCTACTGGGGCAAAGGTTTCTTGGTAGTCTATCCCATATCTCTGTGTGTATCCCTTTGCCACCAATCTAGCTCTATATCTTTCAATGGATCCATCTGCCTTGAGTTTCACAGTATTGATCCACCTGCATCCCACTGTCTTCTTTCTATGAGGTAATGGCACGAGTTCCCATGTACCATTCTTCTGGAGAGCTCGCATTTCTTCATTCATGGCTTCTTTCCATTTTGGGTCTTCTAGTGTTTCAGTTACACTGTTGGGAACAGGTATGTCGGCTAACTGCTTCACAAAGTGTACCCGTGACTCAGATAATCTGGTGAGAGATACATAATTGTTGATGGGATATTTCCCCTTTGCATTAAGATCTGCTTCGTAGTGAACTGGAGGTTTACTACGAATCTTCCTTTTTGGAATCTGATATGTAGGCTCTGCACCTTCTGAAATGCAATCAGTTATTTCATTAATGTTATTAGTTTCAGGTAGAGAAGTTACCTGAATGACGTCCTCAGCAGGTGATCGGTGCATAATTACATATCATTTTGTATCCTTCTAACTTATGATTTGGTTATGTTTTTAAGTTAAACTTGTACTTTTAATAAGTTTTGTGTTTGTTTCAGTGTAATAAGCTTGAGACTCATTAAATGCATTTTGGAGACAAGTTAGCTCAAAATGGTGTTTGCAGATCAGTCAATTTCACGGATTGGACTGTACTTACTCAAGAAGAACCAGATAACGAGCCATACATCATTGGAAAGATACGGTAGTCTAGTTTCTGGAGAATTTTACGGTTCATCATTCCGAGTCTTCTAGAGAAAGTTATACAAGTTTTGGCAGCTTAAGGTCAAATTCGGCAACATCTGCGTTACTGGGCCAAATATCACATTTGAAGGGCTTTCCGATTTTTCCTTGAGCTGGGCTGCATATGCTTGGAAAGATAATTCAAAGAGCTTCAAGATCCAGATTTTTCCAGATTTTGTAGGAGGGAAGATCAAGCCCAAAAAAGCCCACAAGCTAACTGCAATGCATTGTCATGCATGACATAGGCATTCCAGCTATGAAAGTCTAAAGGAGCAAAAATAAGGCATTGTGGGAAACATGTTTGGATAAATCAAGAAGCACTTTTCAGGCTGCTAGTGGGATTAGTTGGTACATGCTGGAGCTATTAAAGAGAAAGAATGTGCATGCATGTGAAGCAAAAAAGAAAGGAAAGAAATGAAATGAAGTCATTTCCAGTCTATTTTCGGCAGTCAACCTGCAAGGCCCAAAACCTACATTTGTACTGCTCAGATGTGAATACATTCTTCATAAAAGTTGTTCCAATGGGTGTCTATTATGACATATCCAAATTTGAGCCCCATTGGATACATACTGAAACCTCAGGCCTTTCTACACCAAGCCTGGTTCGTTTTTTCAAGCAATAAAAAAAAAACCCACATGGGTTGGCAGCAAAAGGCAGCCACAATTGAACACCTTTGAAAACCCATGTGAAGAAAGCTTCAAGAGCAGCAAAAGAAGTATGGGATGGAATTGATTCCAACCACACTAACATAGACAAGATGAAGTGGGAGTTATGGATTGTATTAAAAGAGGAATGATGGTGTTGGAATTCATCATGATGTTCCTCCCTTTTAGCCCTATAAATAGAGAAGTCTTCAAGCTTCAAAACACACCCCCCAAGGGGGG